AGTATAAACACATGCGCGCGGCGCTAAGGCGAGAGCCACATTTTGAAAAGGAATCGCCTTCAATCCGTGAAACTCTTGCAAATGTTCAAAACGAATGTGCGCCGCGCTAAAGCGAGAGCCACATTTTGGAACAACATGCCATCAATCCGTGAAACCCTTCCAAATTTCAAAAAAGAATGTGCGCCGCGCTGAGGCGAGAACCACATTTTGGAAACGGGCCGCCCTCAATCCGTGAGACGCTTCCACGTGTTTACAACGAATGTGCGCCGCGCTGAGGCGAGAGCCACATTTTGAAAACCACCCGCCCTCAATCCGTGAAACTCTTGCAAATGTTTAGAACGAATGTGCGTCGCGCTAAGGCGAGAGTCATATTTTGAAAACGGCCCGCCCTCCATCTGTGAAACTGTTGCCTATGTTTAAGCTTCAGAATCATAAATTCTGAGGAAATCTCAGGCGAAACGCCCGACACACATTGAAAACTGGTGGCCAGGGTGCGCCAGGGAGAAAATCATTGATAGGGAAGCGGAATGGAGGAGGAGCAGGAGGAGGAGGAGCAGGAAGAGAAGGAGCAGGAAGAGGAGGAGCAGGAAGAGGAGGAGCAGGAGGAGGAGCAGGAGCAGGAGCAGGAGCAGGAGGAGGCGGACGACGACGGCGGCGGCAGCGGCGGTGACGTCTTCCCGCGCCGCGCCGCGGGCGCGCGCCCGGTGACGAAGGGCATGCCGGCCGGGCGTGCCCCCCGGGGGCGGGCCCAGCGCGGGGGGCCCCGGCCGCCCACCTCGCGCTTTCCGACCGCTCTGGGCAGGCCCGCCGCCTCTTTCACTGGCCCCCCTGGCCGTCGCCGCCGACCGCTCTCCCCGTGGGGGGGCACCCCGCCGCGCGGCGCGCCGCGCGCGGCGCCACCGCCACGGAAGGGGAACGAAAGGGGGGGGGGACTGGCTCGCGGGGGGGGAACCTCGACCTGGAGTCGGCGATGCTGGAAGAAGAAACCAGTGTGTGCACATGAACTGTTGGCGCTCCGCGCGGAGTTCGCGCGGGAGCCCCGCGGGGAGCGCGACAGTGGCGGCGCTGGAGGCGCCGCCGGGGGGGCCCAGGGCGGATCCGAGAAATCCGCGCGGAGAGCCAAAAGTTTATGTTTACGGCGTTTCTCCTTCTTAGAGATACATCGCCGATAGATGGGCGTCAGGCCCCCGATACCAAATCCGCACGATCCTGGGCTGGGTGGGGCTGCCGGGCGACTACCGGCGCTGAAGGGGCGATTGGGGGTCGATGCATCCCCACCCCCTGAGCCCATCCGAGCCCCTGATGCGAGGCGGGGGTCTATACATGTCCACCGCCGGGGAACCGACGTCCTGGTGCCCTGGCGGGCGGTGGATCGGAGGTGAGGGGGTGAGATCGAAGTGGAACGGAGAGCCCCCCTACCCGGAAATCGATTTCGGTTTCGTGTTCGTGCGTGCCGTGCGTGCGGGCGAGGCGAAGCTGCGTGGGCGGGCGAGAAGAAAGTCTCCTGTGGCTGAGGCGCGGCCGGACCAAATGTCTCCCTTCCGGGCGGCCGGGGCCCCGCGGTGTCCCGCCGGTGTCCCGCTGGTGTCCCGTCGGTGATGATGATGATGATGATGATGATGATGACGATGATGATGATGATGATGATGGTGATGATGATGATGATGTTGACAACGATGATGATGATGATGATGATGATTGATGATGGTGATGATGATGGTGGTGATGATGGTGAGTTCGGTAGTGAGACCGAATGTGAGATCGATTGTGAGATCGATTGTGATATCGATAGTGAGGTCGATAGTGAGACCCAATGTGAGATCGATAGTGAGATCGATAGTCAGTTCGATAGTGAGATCGATAGTGAGACCGAATGTGAGATCGATTGTGATATTGATTGTGATATCGATAGTGAGATCGATAGTGAGATCGAACGAGAGGTCGATCATGACTTCGATAGTGAGTTCGATAGTGAGATCGATAGTCAGATCGATTGTGAGATCGATTGTGAGATCGATTGTGATATCGATAGTGAGATCGATAGTGAGACCGAATGTGAGATCGATTGTGAGATGAGATCGATCGAATGAGATCGATAGTGATATCGGTAGTGAGATCGATCGTGAGACCGAATGTGAGATCGATCGTGAGATCGATAGCCAGATCGATTGTGAGATCTATTGTGAGATCGATTGTGATATCGATAGTGAGATCGTTAGTGAGATCGAGTGTGAGATCGATAGCCAGATCGATTGTGAGATTGATCGAATGAGATCGATAATGAGATCGATAGCGAGATCGATAGTGAGATCGATCGAGTGCGACGGTGGTCCCCCCCCTCGCCTCCTTATCACCCGAAGGGTGGTCTATGCGGTACGGATATATTTTAGCCCCCGGGGGCCCGAATATATCCACACCCACCGCCTGCGCAGGTCCGCAAAGATCGATCCCCCGGGCAGTCGTTACGGACAGATTCCCGCCTCGGACCTGAGCAGCGCGCGGGCCTGGCGGCGAGCGCCGCCCGCGGCGCAGCCCGCGAGAGGCGCCTCGGCCGCTCGCCGCGGCGCGGCCGGCCGCTCGCGGCGCCGGCCGCACGGCGCCGCCGCGCCCCTCGGCGGCCGCGCGGCCCGCCGCGGCTCGCCGCGCCGCGGGCCCTCCGCGGCTCCGCGAGGTCGGCCGCGGGCCCTCGGCGGCGCTCGGCGGGGCGCGGCGGCGCCCTCGCCGGCAGAGAGGCCGGCGCTCGGCGGAAGGCCGCCGCGCCGCGCCGAGGGCGCGGCGCGCCGGCGCCCTACAGGGGCGGGCGCTGGCTAGCAGAGGCTGGCGGCGCAGGAGGACCGCGGGACGAAGTAGTCGCACGGGTCGCGGGCGAAGACGGGGTCCTCCTTCCGGGGAGAGCGCGAGGGGACATGCTATATATATATATATATATATATATAGTGCGGCGCATGCGCCCCTCTGGGGGAGGAGCCTGTCCGAAGGCCGAGCGCGCAAGAGGTGCTGACGGATATGCAGCATGTTGGCACCCGGGCGATGTGGCCAGAAAGCGCCTGGCCACAACCATATGCTATAGGATTTCTGTGAGAGCGCGCGCGCGTCGCTCCTGGCGGGGCGACACACACACACACACACAATAGAAGTATGCTGGGGTGGAAGTTACCATAAAAAAGCGTCCCGCCAACAGGGGTTTTGGTGCACTGCCCCCGTCGCCCTGCAAGAACCCCACAGGCCGAGATGATCCACAAACCAGCCGCCTGGATTTTTGTCGAGACGTCGCATATCCAGGCGTGTGGCCGGCCTGGCCAGATGATTTTCCGCAAGTCAGCGCCAGCGTGTGCTTGCCCACCGAAGCACATCAGTTCCACAAAGGCGGCGCAATGAGGCCCAGCACTGATTGCGTGCTACTGAATCGGTGGAGCTGAAGGGGGCAGCGCACACATTGGGCTAACACGTCCTGAAGATCATCGAGATGAGGGGAAGAGAGCAAATCAGCGCCCCGTCAACGGGGATTCGGATTTAACCAAGACATCGGCGCACCCAAGAAAACAGCTGTCGTGGGTCGGAACGTTGATCATTATTGTTCGTTTTCTCTCCCGGTGGATCTTGCAAAGTCAAGGCTTTGAACAAAGCACGCCAATTTCGGACCGAATTGGAAAACGTGAACCAGATAATGCTGCAACCAAGCCAGCCGACCCCCGACGCGCGACCCGAGCTGGCGAGCCCAAAAATCGGCCAGGAAAATCGAGCACGGCAGGCCGAAAGAGCCCCAGGCGGCCCAGCCGAACCGACCCGAACCAGAAGCCGCACTCCCGGCGGGAACTAGGCGGCCGCGAGGCAGCTGCGAGCGGCCGCTGGCGCTGGGCGTTTCGGGGCGCCCGGGGGCTGGAACCGTCGAGGGCGCCCGGCGGCGAGGCCGGAAGCGAACGCCGCGACGCCGACCCCTCGCCATCGCTCGGACGTCCATTCCCTGTGTTTTTTGTTCGGTTTCGTGCGTGGGTTTTGTCGCCAAATGATCAAGGATGCTCCTAGACTGTCCTCGCCAAAGGAAAAATGCACACGCCCGAGCGATGCCAGGACCCCAGAGGATTCCTTCGGCCGATGGTTGGATTGTTGACTGGAACACGCACACACACACAATTATTTAAGCGATCGCGGCCTCGCGCGCAGCGACGCGGCCGAGAAGATCCCCGAGCGACTATAGCGCGCAGGCGGCCGGCTGGAAACACAAGCACACGCACACACATACAAACACACATATCTATACCTGTATATATATATATATATATATATATATATATATATATATGTATGTATAGATATATATATGTGTATATATATGTGTATATATATATATATATATATATATGTGTGTGTGTGTGTGCGTCGCGGCGCGGCAGAAACGATCAGCTCGCGCGTCGAGCAGCCCGAGCAACCCGGGCTACAGCATTGCGAATTGTCCCGCGTGCAAGAGGCGGGAACGACGACGCACTCACGCGGCGACGCCGCGGGGGGCGCTCGGGGCGGCCAGGCTGCAGGGCAGCCCCTGGGAGCAAGCGCGGGGCGGCGCCGCAGGCGCACCCAAGGGAGAAGACGGCAGCCGCAGTGCGGGGCGGGCCCAGCAAGTGGGGGCAGCGGGAGCGGCGGGTGTCCCTGGCGCCGTGACCCTGCGCGCAGCGACAGGGCGCGGAGGGTCGAAAAGCAGCAAATGCGCCCACGCGTCTAAGCCCGCCCGAGCACGCAGAGACCACTTAGAGTCCCGCAGCCGCCGGCAGCCATACCCGTCCGGACATGGACGGCGGGGGGGCAGCAACATACACACACACACACACACAACCACACACAATTTCACTTCCCAGCTGGCTGATCCAACGCAGAGAGTCGCTAGAGCGGGATACGCCAAGTGCTGTTATCGCCAGGCGTGGCAGGTGGGGGGTAAGGACGTGGCCGACGCCTGCAGTCAGCACACACACACACACATGTGTATATATACATATATATATATGATTCCCTATGGCGCCCGCGCCGAGTGCAATCAGCGGTTCGAGTGAAACGAGAACGAGAAGCTCGCCCCAGTGAATTACTACTTGTATGACGTCGCAAACTAAGCTGTGCTCTCAGAGAGGGGCGGGCGTAGCCGACACCGTCGAGCAGCCGCACACTCACACGCACACTCACGCACATACAGACAAAAAACAAAAAAAGCATGCAGTCCGCCCGACCTTCGTGCCCTTCCAGAATGGAACAATCTGAGGTGGCTCGAATCCGTAGATCATGTGCTCCATATACTCCAGAACCATGCCCCCCGTCTGCTTCTGCTTGTCAAACCTCTCCGCGGGCACCTCCCCCTTCTTCCAGTACTTGTCCTTGCCTAGCGCCTCTGGAGAGACCCTGTTCATGTCGATGGGCCCCTCGTGGCACTTGTCCGCGATGGTAGAAGAACAAAACACCGATACTCACTGAGCTTTCGGCGGTGGACAAACCTCCCTTTAGTGAACCACCCTTTAACGAAAACGGCATACGACAGAAACCGACGGACCTGGACCTGCAAAAATGACAGACGGCCTCGACGCCCTCTCGCGAACCGACAACGGCCAACTCGTTAATCGACGTGTCAGGGTAGGAGGTCTATCAACCTCCGAAGCTTTCGGGGGTCCGCGAGAGCCCCCTCCCCGAGCCCCTCTCCCCGGCGCGCCGTGGGCGCGCCGTGGGAGGCGCCGCCCACGGCGTATGGTGCAGGGGCCCCACGCCGATCCGGCATCCGAACCTTTTTCTCATCTTGGCGGCGAACCCAGGGGGGGGGAGGAGGAGGAGGAGGAGGAGGAGGAGGAGGAGGAGGAGGAGGGGAGGAGGAGGAGGAGGAGGAGGAGGGAGGAGGAGAGGGAGGAGGAGGAGGAGGAGGAGGAGGAGGAGGAGGAGGAGGAGGGGGAGGAAAAGGAGGAGGAGGAGGAAGCGAGAGGGGGCAGGCCTTCTCAGAAGGCGGCGGGGCTCCTCGAAAGCCCCCGCGCCCTCCGAGACGTCGCCCGTGGCTCCGGGGAGGGCCTCGACAGTGGAGCAGTGCGCCGGCCCGAGAGATCCGCGCGGACCACCAAGCAAGCTCACACTCTCCTGTTTCCGAGCATCGGGGGATTTGCTTCCTCGATTCGCGACCCCCGGGTCGTGGACGCGCCAGCCCGCGCCCCCCTGACCACCCGGGGCGCCGCTGGAGGCCCCCCCTGCCTCAGGGGGGGCGGTGATTCGGGGGCGCGCAAGCATGGACTAGCGATCCATGGACCTGGCGCGCGGTCGCCACATCCACGCATCGGGGGAGGTGCCCTCCCCAAGGTGCGCCCGGTGCCGCCCCGCTCGGCGGCGGAAACCCGCGGCTTCCCATGGGAACGCGACCCGCCGCCACCGATCCACGTCCCCCTCGCCATCGCTTGGACGTCCAATTTTGTTTGTGCCTTGATCGCTCTCGCGCGTATTTTTTTTGTCGCTCGATGCTCCAGGATGCTCCTCGATGGCTCCCGCCGACGAAAAATGCGCACGTCCGAGCGATGCCCAGCCCCTTGGTCCATGTCTGCGATCGCCTGAATGATGATGGGGGGGGTGCACTGGCTCGGGGGGGACACGCCGACGGGGCAGCGGCCGTGCGTCGCTCGTCGACGGGTCGGCCCCCGGCCCGCGGCCGCGAGAGAAGGCGAGCGCTCCGGAGCGGGCCGGGGCATCCGCGCCCCGATGGTCGCGGATGGGGCCATCGGGGGGCGGATGCTCCCGCCCCTCGGGCCAGTCCTCCATGTGTTTCCCTCTCCTCCTCCTCCTGCTCCTCCCCCTCCCCAAGATCATACTCATGCTGCTTCTCCTTCCTCTTCCGCCTCCCTGCTCCCCCGCTCGGGCCAGTCCCCCCTCCCCTCCCCCCATCAGGGCGACGACATCTATGCACATCCGCTGCGCCCCGGCCAGGCCTGTCCTGAGCCCCTCGGGCCAGTCCCCCCCCCCCCTTACGGCGACGAGATCTGCGCATCTCCACTGCGGCCCCGGGCAGGCCCACTCCTGAGTCCAGCAGCGGTGCACACGCCACGCCCTCCCCGCCTGGCCAGGAGGGCGTACGCACAGCTCCTGGGCTCGGGATGGGCCTGGCCATGGAGCAGCGGGTATGTGAAGGTCTCGTCGCCAGACCCCTGACGTTGCCCTCGACTCCTGCAAAACCCCTTGGGTTTTGAGGGGGGTCTGGCGCCGACCCCAACAAGAATCCGCGCGGACCTCCGCAGGTTTGTGATTCCGCGCAAGCCGTGTCCTCCCACCAGCCCTCTTGGGCCAAGATGGTCTGCACGAGATCTCTCCTCACCGAAAACTGGCTCCTTTCCTGGAGGTTTTTTTCCCCCCCCCCTCCCTGAGGTTTTTGGAGGCGGGTCGCGAAGTGTCAGGGCGCCCAAGATGGCCCAAGATGGCTCCACGAGGGCGTCCGATGTTCCAAGATGGCCTCCAAAATGGCTCAAGATAGGCGGCGATGGTTCAAGATAGCTTCCGACCTACCTCCAACAGGCCCGACGAGGGCCACAATAAAGTTCCAAGTGCTCTCGGAGCCCCCTCAGGACCCCCCAAGAGGCCAACATCATTTCTCACAACCCACGGAAATCAATGATGATTGCCTTCTCGGTGTTTCGATTCGGATGCGCTTTTGAGACACCAAAGTGGCCCCAAGATGGAACAAGAGAGGCCCAAGAGGGGCCAAATAGACCCCAAGACGGCCCCAGGAGCGCCTATGAGCGCCCCAGGAGGGCCCCAAAAGCGCTCCAAGAGGCGACGTTGATGGCACCAAAGGGGGGGCACCGAAAGTTACGATCCCCCTCTTTTGATCGACGGCCTCCGAGATGACCCTCCAAGGCTCCCACGCGATCCAGAAGAGACCCCCAAGAGGGCCAAATCGAGCTCCAAGAGGCCCAAATATCCTGGAAGATTCCCCAGAGAGCTCCAAGAGGCGATTTTGAGGGCTCTGTCCTCTTCCTCGTTGTCCTCGTCCTCCTCCTCCTCCTCCTCCTCCTCCTCCTCCTCCTCCTCATCCTCCTCCTCCTCCTCCTTGCCCTCATCGTCTTCCTTCCCGTGTCCTTCTTTTCCTCGTCGTCGAGGTCGTCGTCGTCTTCATCCTCCTACTTCTCCTCCTTCCCTCGCCCCCACGCGGGCCCTGGAGATAGCCCGAAGAGGCCCTCCAAGGCCACCCGCTTGCTCCCAAGGATCTCTCTGTACACCCTGGTGGCCCGCTTTACTTTGATCGATTTGCCAGTGCGCCCCTTTCCCCGTCAACTCTCATTGGCAGGATTTCCGAATGGGCTGGTGGGGATACGCGAAGCGTGAAGAATAAGGACGTGAGGCGAAGATGAACACCTTGGACGCCCGAATTCAATTAATGAATTTGCCGCGACGCACGACTATCGGCCAACGACTGGCCGAAGAGGCAAGGATCTCGGCTATCGCATTGATTGTTGTATGCCGTCTCGGGCGCCGCGGCCGTCACCGGAGCGCCCCATTCGCATCCTCAAACCCGACGGGCCAGTCCGGCGCCGACTCAAGAAATCCGCGTGGACCCCCGAAATGTCATGAATATGCAGATGTCCTGCTCTTCGGGATAGACCTCTCGTAGGCTTCCTTCCACACCGCAAGCGGGCGTCTGCGCACGTTCACGCGCCCCACGGCGAAGTTGTTCAGGGGGTGGGTGCCAAGCAACGGTTCCACCTCGTGGAGGTTCTGGCTCCTTCCTTTCCTCCTCATCCTTTCTCCTTCTTCCACCTCTTCCTCCGCCTCCTCCAACTCCACCTCCTCATCCCCTTCGTCCATCTCCATCCTTTTCGGTCCAGTCCTCCCTCCCACCCCGTCCACCTCAGCCCTCCATCGTCCTCCTGTTCCCTTTTCCGTCCTTCCCCCTCCTGCCACTATTCCTCTTTTACCCATACACCACCCCTCATCAGACATCCTCATCCTCTTATACCATCCTCTGCCTCCTCACTCTCGTCCTCCCCCTCCTCCTCATCATCGTCCTCAGCTTCTTCTCCCTCCTCCTCCAAAAACTACCAACAGCACCACGAATACAACCACCACTACTACCACAATTACTACTACTACTACTACTACTACCACTACTACTACTACTACTACTACTACTACTACTACTACTACTACTACTACTACTACTACTACTACTACTACTACTACCACTACTACTACTACTACTACCACTACTACTACTACTACTACTACTACTA